GTCCCTACCTCCTGAAGCACCGCGCTCTTCTCCAGGTGCTGGAAGGGATTGGAGCCGCTGCCTGGGGAGAGAGAGAGAGCTCAGAGTGGGGATGCACTCCCCTCCCACCCCAGGGGCTGAAGGGGCAGGAGCAGCCCCAGCTGCACCAAAGGCACCCACATCCCCTGGCAGTAACTGATCCTGGCCAGCAGCAGCCTTGGAGCCGCTTCCCTAAGTGAGAAACTCAGGGCTACAGAAAGAATGAGGGGAAAACCCAAACTTCAGAGGAAGAAAATTGTTTGCTATTTCAAACACCTTTAATTCCTTTATTTAATAACTTTCATTTAACTAATATTATTAATACCTTTAATACCTAAACGGCCTTTACATAAAACTAGTTCCTTTTCCCCCTTTCCTAATTACATTATAATTAGCATTATAAATAAATAATTTCCAAATCCACCTGTTAATATTATATTATACTATATTATATACTATATCATACTCTAATATTTTAATAAAATATCATAATTATGAATATATAATGTCCAAATTATATTATATATATTATATATAATATAATATATTATATATATTATAATATATTATATTATATATAATATTATATTATTATAGTATAGTATAGTATATTATATATTATAATATATATTATATGAATATATAATGTCCAAATTATAGTATATATTATAGATAATATAATATATTATATATATTATAATATATATTATATTATATATTATATTATATTATTATATTATATTATAGTATATTATATATTATAATATATATTATATGAATATATAATGTCCAAAATATATAATATTATATATTCATCATTATAATATTAATATATTATAGTTTTATTATAATATATGTTTTATTATAATATATTATTTTAATAAAATGTTATAATTATGAATATATAGTTTCCTAATTATATAATCATAATTATAACATGAAAATATTATATTTTTATTGTAATATATGGTTTTATTATAATGTATTATATTAATAAAATATTATAATTATAAATATGTAACTGCCTAATCCACCTGTTTTTATTATATTATATACTAAAAACTTAATAAATATTATAATTATGAATATATAATTTCCTAATTATATATTCATAATTATAATTCAGGTATTCTATTTTATTATAATATATGTTTTTATTATAATATATTATAATAATAAAATATTATCATTATAAATATATAATTTCCTAATCCACCTCTTTTTATTAAAATACATTATATTATAATTATACAATAATATTTTAATAAAATATTATAATTATAAATATATAATTTCCCAATCCACCAGTTTATATTATACTATGTTATACTATGTTATTTTTAATAAATTATTATAATTATAAATATATAATTTCCTAATCCACCTGTATTGTACTATATTATACTATACCATACTATATTATATTATACTACATTATATTATACTATATAATATTTAATAAAATATTATAATTATAAATCTACCATTTCCCAATCCACCTGTTTTTATTATACTATATTATACTATATTATATTTTACTATACTATGTTATATTTAATAAAATACTATAATTCTAAATCTGTCATTTCCCAATCCACCTGTTTTTATTATACTATATTGTAGTATATTACACTATATTATATTTTACTATACTATATTGTACTATGTTATATTTAATAAAATACAATAATTCTAAATCTACCATTTCCCAATCCACCTGTTTTATTATACTATATTATACTATATAACATTTAATAAAATACAATAATTCTAAATCTACCATTTCCCCATCCAGCTGTTTTTATTATACTATATTATATTTTACTATACTATATTATACTATGTTATATTTAATAAAATACAATAATTCTAAATCTACCATTTCCCCATCCAGCTGGTTTTATTATACTATATTATATATTACTATACTATGTTATATTAATAAAATACAATAATTCTGAATCTGTCATTTTCCAATCCAGCTGTTTTTATTATACTATATTATATTTTACTATACTATGTTATATTAATAAAATACAATAATTCTAAATCTACCATTTCGCAATCCAGCTGGTTTTATTATACTATATTATACTATATTATATATTACTATACTATATTATACTATGTTATATTTAATAAAATACAATAATTCTGAATCTACCATTTCCCCATCCAGCTGGTTTTATTGTACTGTATTATACCATATTATATATTACTATACCATATTATACTATATAACATTTAATAAAATACAATAATTCTGAATCTGTCATTTCCCCATCCAGCTGGTTTTATTATACTGTATTATACTATATTATATATTACTATACCATATTATACTATATAACATCTAATAAAATACAATAATTCTGAATCTGTCATTTCCCCATCCAGGTGTTTTTATTCCTGCAGGCACCAAGGGCCCTGAAGGCCCCAACAGCAGGGCTGCTGCCCAGGCCATGAGGCAGAACTGCAGGCATTTCTCAGCCCATACCCCCCAGGCTCCCTTCTGCTCCCCTCCCAGGCAGGAGCTCCTCATTTCCAGCTCCTTCCCTCCCCGTTCTCACAGCCCAAGGAAGGAAACTGAACATGGAACCAAGTGCAGCCCAGCTGGGCTCATCTGGAGCCCAGAGCAGCAGCACAGCCAATTCAGAGCAGCACCAGTTGTTGGAGGAAACTGGATTTAACTTGCAGACCCTTGGAGGGCTCTGCCCAGGGACACCTCCCCCTGTCCCAGGGGCTGGAGTCATAAATACATAAATACTAATTATATTTCCTGTGCTCACAAACTCTGTCCCCCAGGAGAGCTCTACATTTCACCTACAACCATGGCAAAAATTCCCAAAATTCATTAATAACACTAAGAGTACAAGTGGATAGCTTAATTAGAAGTATGTAGTACCACTAAGTAAAAATTATATATAATTATATAAGTTATAAAAATATACATATAATAAATATAATATAATAAATATAATATAGGGATATAATAAATATAATATAGGGATATTATATAGGGATAAAATAATATAGGGATAAAATAATATAGGGACATAATATAGGGATAAAATAATATAGGGACATAATATAGGGATAAAATAATATAGGGACATAATATAGGGATAAAATAATATAGGGACATAATATAGGGATAAAATAATATAGGGACATAATATAGGGATAAAATAATATAGGGACATTATATAGGGATAAAATAATATAGGGACATTATATAGGGATAAAATAATATAGGGACAAAATATAGGGACATTATATAGGGACATTATATAGGGACATTATATAGCGATATTATATAGCGATATTATATAGCGATATTATATAGCGATATTATATAGCGATATTATATAGCGATATTATATAGCGATATTATATAGCGATATTATATAGCGATATTATATAGCGATATTATATAGCGATATTATATAGCGATATTATATAGCGATATTATATAGCGATATTATATAATTATATAAATTATATATAAAACAAAATTTAAAATTTTAGAACAGTAACTAATCCTTCTTTTTTACCTTCTTCCTTCTTCTTCCTAAGTTTTAATAAGGCTTCGTAATTAAAAAAGTCCCCATTACAAACTCCAAATAAGTAGTTGTTAAATTAAAAGGAAAAAGAATTTAAATATAATTTCCTAATGAAATAGTTTAACCTTTATAAACCTTATATTACAAATAATTCATCATTTTATAACTTTTAATTAAATACTTGTAACATAAATAAAAAATAACGAACATCTAAGCCTAAACACAAAATACCATCTCTAACCCTTCGATCCCAACCTTTACAAAAATAGGAAAAAAACCCAAAAACCAACCCCAGGCTGCTCCCAGCTCTGTCCAGCCTGGCCTCGGCCATTCCAGGGCTCGAGGCCCCAGTTCCTTTAGATTTGTCACCAGAGGGGAGAAATACTTTGTTAGTCAGTCCTTGGAGCTGAAAAACTGAAATTCCCCATGAGCTTTGAGAGACCACAGAACCACGGGAAGGGCTGGAAGGAGGTTTAGGGAGCATTCACTTCCACCTCCTGGCATCAGCAGGGACACCTTCTGCTACCGCAGCTCGCTCAGCCTGGCCGGGGACACTGGCAGGGATCCAGGGGCAGCCACGGCTGCTCCGGGAATTTTATTTCACCTCAGCACCTTCCTCACCTCCACACCCCCCTCAGCATCCCACTCACCTCAGCACCTCTCAGCACCTCCCTCAGCTCAGTATCTCTCAGCTCAGCATCTTCCTCACCTCAGCACCTCCCTCAGCTCAGCACCTTCCTCAGCATCTCCCTCACCTCAGCACCTTCCTCAGCATCTCCCTCACCTCAGCACCTTCCTCAGCATCTCCCTCACCTCAGCACCTCCCTCAGCATCTCCCTCACCTCAGCACCTCCCTCAGCATCTCCCTCACCTCAGCACCTTCCTCAGCATCTCCCTCACCTCAGCACCTCCCTCAGCATCTCCCTCACCTCAGCACCTCCCTCAGCATCTCCCTCAACTCAATATCCCTCAGCTCAGCATCTTCCTCAGCATCTCCCCTCAGCTCAGCACCTCCCTCACCTCCACACCCCCTCAGCACCTTCCTCACCTCACCTCAGCACCTCCCTCAGCATCTCTCTCACCTCAGCACCTCCCTCAGCATCTCCCTCAGCTCAGCATCTCCCTCACCTCCACCCCGCGTTCACTTCAGCAGCCCTCTCACCTCAACCCCCGCTGTCTCCTCAGCCCCCTCCCGGCCCCAGCACCGCTCCCCTCGCCCCCAACCCCCCCGTACCGGACTCCTCGTCCTTTTTATCGAACTTCTTGATCATGGCGACCCCGCTCCCGCTTCCTCCGAGCGCCGCCGCCTCAGCAGCCCTGCCGGAAAGCCCGCCCCCGTCCCCCTCTCTGACATCTGATTGGGTCGCGGCGCTGTCAATCAACCCGGCTCTTTCCGTCTCGCCAAGCCACGCCCCCACCACGCGCTGAGGGGCGGGGCCAGAGTGAGGGCGCCTCTTAAAGGAGCCGCGTCGTTATTTTGTGAGGGGAGTGAGGTTCCGCTGGCGGACAGAGAGAAAAGTAAATAAATAAATAAATCAATCAATCAACGATCTGCGCTCCTGGCCAAGGAACGGGAACTCCTGTGGAGTTCACAATGAATTTACGTGGAATTTACATGGAAGTGACATCGAATTCACGTGGAATACACGTGACAATCCAACCCTCTGGGGCCTTTGCAACAGCCGGGGTAAGTCACAAGTAACTCCTGTGTAACTCTTATGTAACTCACTTTTAGCTCCCATGACAAATCACGCACTGAGGCCCTCAGCAAAAAAAAAAAAAAAAAAAAAAAAAAAATTCCCATGTAACTCATATGTTAACAAGTTAACAGTTACCTCTCAAGGCAAAAAAATATTGAGCACACTGGCAAAAAAAAGGATTGCCATTATCTCCCAATTAACTTCCATGTAACTCACAGGGAACACACAAGTAACTCTCATGTTACTATCCAGACAAAACAACCATTTCAGCCCATTGCCAAAAAAAAGTATTCTCATTAATGTCCCATGTAACTCATGAGTAACTCACAAGGAGTTCACACATAAATCCCAAGTAATTCCCAATTAATTCCCATGTAACTCACAAGGAACTCAGTAGTAATCTCCAGACAAAACAATCATTTGAGCTTTTGGCAAAAAAAAAGGATTCCCACGAATCTCCCATGTCACTCCTATGTAACTCATGAGTAACTTGCAAGTAACTCACATGTAAATCCCAAGTAATTCCCACTTATCTTGCAAGGAACTCACAAGTAACTCTCATGTAACTCTCCAGACAAAACAATTATTTGAGCCCATTGCCAAAAAAAAAAAAAGGATTCCTATTAATCTCCCATTTAACTCATGTGCAACTCATGTTTAACTCACAGGTAACTCCCAATTAATTCCCATGTAACTCATGTGTGACTGGCAAGGAACCCCCATGTAATTCCCATGTAATTCCTGTGTAACTCACGTGTAACTCACACAGAACTCTCACAACACACCAAGCATTTGAGCCCCTTAAGCAAAAAAAGCTGCTCAAAGTTGTTCCAGGGCAGGTTTAGGTTGGATGTTGGGCAAATTCTTTCCTGGGAAAGTTTGTGCCCATTCCCAGAGGGGTTAAACACCCTGTGGATGTGGCACCTGGGGACATGGGCAGTGCTGGGAATGGGATGAATAAATTTTCCCTAAAATGTGAGGAATTGGGATATTTACTGTTATTAGATATTTATCTGGTGTTAGATACTTATTTCCTCTTAGATATTTATCTGTTGTTAGATGTTTATTAGTGGATGTTTCTATTGATAGTTGTTTACTATTGTTTGATACTTATCTGTTATTAAATATCTATTATTAGGTGTATAATATCTACCTATTATTAGCAGATATTTAGAATAAATAAAGAGGGGAAGTAATGCCTCAGGTTTAGCTTTTCTATTTTTCACATTCTGTGCTGCTTTGGTGTGTGGGTCTGGGCTCCATATTATGGGATGGTGAGCTCTGTGCACAGAGCAGGGAGACAAAACAATTCCTGCTCCAGCTGGGCACCAAGGACAAATGACCCAAATCTCAGCCCAGGAGCACAAACCCCGTGGGCTGGAGAGAGAAAAACAAGCAGGGTGGGACTGCAGGGGCTAAAGCTGGAATGGGACAATGAACTGCCCTGGGTGGGTAAAAATTCCAGTGCTCATGGCTTGGAGCAGAGGCTGTAAGGGAAGGATTTTGTTTTATTCCTCTAAACACCAACAGCAAAGGGGTTTCTGAAACAAGGGGGGTGCAGGATGGGTTCATTTCCTAAAATAAAATGTGAGATATATATGATATATGATATATGATATATAATATATAATATATAATATAATACAATTTATATACTATACTATATATTATACATTAATTATATATTATGTATTATGTATTATATATTATATATTATATATTATCATATATTATATATTACATACTATATATTATATATTACATACTATAGATTTATTATATATTATATGTTATATATTATTTAAAATGTAGTCCCAGCCTGTATCCTGTTGAATCCAGCAGCAGTGACTTGCAGAGGCTGGAGCACGAAGCCATGAGCCCATTTTTTCATTTTCTTTCCAAAGCTGGATTTTTCATGGTATTTTAGGAACCTGACAATGAAAAACTTCTGAATCCCCTCTTATTTTCCTGACTTGTCTTGCTTGTAATCCACGATGCAGGGAGTTGTGAAAACACCTGGGGTAATTGATGAGTTCTCAATTCTGGTTCTTTCCCGTGCTGCTGAGCCAGGCTGAACAGCCCAGGCAGCAACTCTGGGCAGGACACCAAGAGTGGAGAGGCCTTTGCTGCCACATCCTGCTCAAGTGGAACTACATCCTACTCCTGACAGAATTATTTTCTCCTGAATAACCCCCTAGTAAATAAATGCAGACAAACTCCATGGCTTCCAGATAAAGAGACTGGAGCGGTGAATGAATTCATTCAGTGAATGAATTAGGAGTTCATTTTAAATCAACAGGGATTATTTCAAATTTCTGCTTTCCCTTCCCCATTCCCATTTCTGCTTTCCCTTCCCCATTTCCTGTCTTCAGCATTTTTGGGGTCTCCAGTCTGGAGAAGTGTTTCCCATCCCTCTGGGAAAGAAGACTGGCAGTGCTGACAGATCTCAGATAGGATTTTATGGGCTGACCTGAGGGATTTAGGAACTTCCATCTAAAAGCTGCCCCACTTTTCCCTTGTTTTTCCAAATGGGAATTGTGTGCTGCATTCCAAACCCCAGGGACAGGGAAATGCAGGGCAAACTGAACATCTGTGATATATAATACATTATTTTTAAGAATATATATAATATATAATATATTTTATATGTTATATAATATGTTATGTGCAATATATATATAATATATAATATATATTATATTATATATAATATATAATGTATAATGTATAATGTGTATTATAATACACATTATGTAATAATGTGTATAATACACATTATTACATAATGTGTATTATATATTAATACACATGATATATTAATGTGTATTAATATATAATACACATTATGTAATATATTATCTATTATTTTTAAAATACTATATTTTAATTTTATTTTATATGTTATATATTATATAATATATATTACATATATTTTACATAATATACTAAATTATATATATTATTGTTCATATTAGATGTATTATATATTATATTACATATAACACTTATAACATGTATTATTATAATATATAAAATATATTATATGTTCTTTATTAAATACATTTAATATATATATAAAATATATAAAATATAAATATATAAATATAAATCTACAAATCTACAAATCTATTTAATGTACGTAATATATTAAAGGATGTTATATTTATTATATTTTTCATATATTATAAATTATATTTAATTATAAAGTATCATATATTAAATATGTTATATGTTATATATGTATAACATTAGATGTATTACACATCACAATATAGAATATAATATGATATAATATAATGCTATAATAGAATATATTACAGTATAATATAATATTTAATAGACTGTATAGTATATTCTAGATATATGTTATGTTATATATGTTATGTTATATGTTATGTTATATATGTTATGTTATATATGTTATATATGTTATATATGTTATATATGTTATATATATAATATGTTATATATTACATACAATAGGTATTCCATATTGCATTATATAATATAATATTACATTACAGCCTTCAATAAACCCTGAGGGCAACTTTTAATCTCATGTTTGCTTCTCTGGATCTGCTCAGGACCCTCCTGGAATTCCCATTTCCTTCTTGTCTCATGGTTGAAGTTGTCCCACCCTGAACGTGGCTGGGGTGAGGCTGTGGTGCCACCCCTGGTGAGCTCCAGGAGCAGCAGCATCCCCTTAATCCTCTGCTGAAGAACCTTTAATTAAAAGCTATTATTTTACTATTTTAATTACTCTCCCCACTGAGCTTACTGTCTTTCCTCACATTCTACTGCACCTCCAAAAACACAATGGGGACAGAACCACCTAAACCCCAATTTTGGAGCCCCAGCCTCTCTTTAGCACCTCCCCAGCCGCAGGAGCCTTGAGGAAAAGCTTTGCCGTGGATCTTTATCCCACAGCCAGGGTATTTATCCTCCCAGGATGAGGAGGGAAAACAACCACCCCCAGGGCCAGCTGTGGATGTCTCCCAGCCCTGCTGCCACCTCCAGGAGCTAAAGCTGTTCCTGCCACGCCCCAGCTCCGGGCTTTCCACCTAAAACCTGAGACTGCGGCATCTCAGCACCTGCAGGAAGAGGAATTGTTCCAAAGCAAATCCTTCAGCAAATGTCACGAGCAAGTTTTTCCTGTAATTTTTCTTCCTCTTAACTCATTGTCTCCTTCAAGTGCTTGTAGAGGTCAAGGAGAACATCCCAGCTTTAATCTCAAGGGGAATATTTGGGTTTTTGTACAAGTTTTTCCAGTGATTTATATTCAGGCTTATATTGAAGATTCCCAAGCTATCAGGATTCACAGCTGTTGACAGCAGAGCCAAGTAGAATTTGATAATTATTGACTTTAAAGATAAACTTTAAATAGGAAAGGCTTTCCCCACCTGATTGGAATTAATAATAGAAGGGGAAAAGGAAACAAACCCCATGTGATGGACATTTATTCATTCCTAGAAAGTAAGGGTGAAAATACAAATCTTCCCTCTTCCTTCTCACCCTCAGGGAACAAAACAATGTATGAATTCATTTTGTGGCAGGAGAAACCCTCTGGGAATGTTATTTCAGGGAAGAGAGAATGTTTCCAAGCCTGCAGCTGGAATTTTCACAACCTCCTGTTTTGTCAGTGCTCTTCCCTCCTAGAACAGCATCAAATAATTGAATTGGATTGGATTAAATAAAACTTGGCACCAAAATCTGCTCATCTCTTTGGGAAAAGGCTGCTTCTCAAAAGCAGCCTCACATCTGAGAACTGAAAGTTCCCAGACCAGAAGGTGAAGCAACCCCGTGGCCAAAATACCCCAGTGGTTTCACGGGTGCTTTTCCCTCACACGGAAACTGAAACCCAAAAATCCCCCGGAGATCCCCTGAGCCCAGCCCAGCCCAGCCCAGGCCAGCCCAGGCCAGCCCCCCTGGTGCATTCCTCAGCTCTGAGGGCACCCCTGCCGCTCCAGCAGGGAGAGATTCCCCTTGGGAAGCTCTGGAAAGGCTGGAATCTCCCTAGCCTGAGGTCATACATGCAGCAAAGACACCTTGGTGTCTTTATTTTTACCCATTCTGCCAAATCCCAGCCAAAACAGGAAATGTTTGTTTGTAAAACTGTAGCAAGTGTAACATGTGCTGTATTTTAGCTTTTATGAGAAAATGACCTTGCAACGCTTAACACTGGATCTCCTCCTTCTCCTTCTCCTTCTCCTTCTCCTCCTTCTCCTTCTCCTTCTCCTTCTCCTTCTCCTCCTTCCTTTTCACCTCCTCCTCCTTCCTTTTCACCTTCTCCTCCTCATTCTCCTTCCTTTTCTCCTTCTTCCTTTTCACCTTCTCCTTGCCATTCTCCTTCCTTTTCACCTTCTCCTCCTTCACCTTCTCCTCCTTCCTTTTCACCTTCTCCTCCTTCACCTTCTCCTCCTTCCTTTTCACCTTCTCCTCCTCATTCTCCTTCCTTTTCTCCTTCTCCTTCTTTTCTCCTTCCTTTTCTTCTTCTCCTTCCTTTTCTCGTTCTCTTTCTCCTTCTCCTTCTTCCTTTTCACCTTCTCCTTGCCATTCTCCTTCCTTTTCACCTTCTCCTTCTACTTCACCTCCTCCTCCTTCCTTTTCTCCTTCTCCTCCTCCTTCCTTTTCACCTTCTCCTCCTCATTCTCCTTCCTTTTCACCTTCTCCTCCTCATTCTCCTTCCTTTTTTCCTTCTCCTCCTCATTCTCCTTCCTTTTCTCCTTCTCCTTCTCTTCTCCTTCCTTTTCTCATTCTCTTTCTCCTTCTCCTCCTCGTTCTCCTTCCTTTTCACCCTCTCTTTCTCCTTTTCCTTCCTTTTCTCCTTCTCCATCCTTTTCTCCTTCTCCTTCTCCTCCTTCTCTCACTAAACAAAAATAATTCATAATTCCCATGACACAAAATGTTACCACTGGAATTTTTTCCTTTCTCCATCCCTCTCCATTTCCAGGGCAATATTTGGACTTTTCCAGGTGTCTCCAAGTACAATGGGCAGCGCTGTCTTGGGCTCAGCAACTGCCTCTTGCTGGATTAATAGTAGGTTAATTAAAATGAGAGTAATTAACCTGATGGGAAACCATCCCAGGCTGCCCAATACAGACCATTTCTTGGGACCATTTTCCCTGACTCATTGAATTATTGGGAATGAATCACAGTCCCAAGTATTCCTGGGAGCATGAACTCACATCCTGAGCACGTTATATGTACTCAGTGCAGGAACCTGGGAGAGCTGATAAGAAATTAGGTAAATCCTGCTTAAGTCCTCCCAGGAAAACAAAAGCTGATTAATGATTAATCATTAACAAAAAAACAAAAACAATTATTAATGACTACAGTTTGGACCATTCTGCTCCTTGGGGCAGAGTTTTGGTTTCTGTTTCTGGAATAAGAATGCAAAGGAGTATTTTTTTCCTGGAAGGAGATGGATCCTCATCCCTGGTGCTTTAAAACAAGGAGTTTGTCTTCCTTTGGACACTGGACTAATCTCTAGTCCTGACTCAAAATGCAGCTTTTTTTACCCAGGAATCTGCAAGAGTCACATCCAAGAACACAACCCTTCCATGAGCAGCATCCAAGGAGGAACCTGGAACTCCTCAACATTCCACCTGTGCTGCTGCATCCCCCAGCTTCCCCTTCCCTGGAGCTGCTGCTCAGCAATTCCCACCTGGATGCTGAAGTGTCCCTTCACCAAACCAGGGGGACAGGGAAGCATCCCTTGACCCCCAGGAATTTGTGCATGGAAAAGGTGGGAGAATTGTCCATATCCAGAGCCCCAGGTGCCTGAGCAAGGTGAGGAACAAGGGATAATCCCTTACTCCCTGAAGGCTTGGAGTGTCACAGCCTGGAATCATCCCAAGTGGAAATCTACCATTGTTAGTAGAGCTCTGAAAAAAAAAAATCTTCCAGTAATTCCCAGCTTGGGTTGTGCCAGGGTGGAAACTTCCTGATGATTTATGGGAAATCAGGGAATCTGAGAATGACTTGGAAAGGATTCCAAGGATCACCCAGTGCCACCCCTGCCCTGGCAGGGACACCTCCCACTGTCCCAGGCTGCTCCAGCCCCAGTGTCCAGCCTGGCCTGGGGCATTGCAGGGATGCAGGGGCAGCCCCAGCTGCTCTGGCAATCCCAGCCCAGCCAGGAATTCCTCATTGCCAAGATCCCATCCCTGGCTGCCCTCTGGCACTGGGAGCCATTCCCTGGGTGCTGTCCCTGCAGGCCTTGGCCCCAGTCCCTCTGCAGCTCTCCTGGAGCCCCTGGAACGTGCTGGAAGCTCTCCCTGGAGCCTTCTCCTCTCCAGGCTGAAGGGGCTGGTGCAGAGGGCCTGGTGTTAAGCAGGGATCTGGGATCTGTGATTAACTGGCTGTTGGAATTGGAGCAAACCCTACCCATGTAAATGTTCAATCAGTCAATGATTCAATGCTGCTAAAACCTTTTGTGCCCTCATCCTTTTGCACCCTCTCCACCCCCAGTCTCCATATTAATAATTCTGAATTGATTCTGACCTGGTGCTCATTTCATCCATGTGATAAATAATAGCATGGACTGAGCCAAGGACATGGAACGTTGGAGAGAATCCAGAGGAGGCCACCAGGATGATCAGAGGGATGGAGCAGCTGGGAGGAAAGGCTGGGAGAGCTGGGAATGTTCCCCTGGAGAAGGGAGGGATCCAGGAAGAGCTTCCAGCACATTCCAGGCCTGAAGGGCTCCAGGAGAGCTGCAGAGGGACTGGGGCCTAGGCCTGCAGGGACAGCACCCAGGGAATGGCTCCCAGTGCCAGAGGGCAGCCAGGGATGGGATCTTGGCAATGAGGAATTCCTGGCTGGGCTGGGATTGCCAGAGCAGCTGGGGCTGCCCCTGCATCCCTGCAATGCCCCAGACCAGGCTGGACACTGGGGCTGGAGCAGCCTGGGACAGTGGGAGGTGTCCCTGCCATGGCAGGGGATGGAAAAAGATGATTTTAAGATCCCTTCCTACCCAAACCTTTCCATAATTCTATGAAATTTATATTAAAATCTAGTTTTGCCAATTCCACTGATGGTGGTGGTGGTGAGCCACTGGTGACAACCCAGCCCAAAAATTGCTCCTCAGATGTTCCAAGCCCTTGAAAACAGACAAGCCCTAAAGCATGAGCTTGGATGTGGGGTGGTGAATTCCTCTGGAGATGCAGATGCTGTGTCCAGCCCTTGCTGCTCTCCCTGCCCCAAGGGAGGGATGCTTTGGGATCACATCCTTGTCCTGGTGCTGGATGGGAAGGATCCTTTGATGCTGCAGCTCGGGGAGTGCACAAAGGGCTCCCTGAGACAGGGACCTGGCAAGGCCTGGTGGGATGGTCCTACAAATCAGGGAAAATTCCCTGTCTGAGCACCCCAGAGCCACTCTGGAACTCACAATTCCTGAGCTGGGAATTCCTTCCCAGCTGCACCCCACACTCACAGGCTCAGACCACTCACTCCACATTTGCCACGGCAGAGCCGCAGATGTCTCAACCCTTAAATAATTTTAATCTCAGCGCAATAAATAAATAATAAAACAACAGCTCAAGCTGGTGCCTCTCAGGAGGCAAAGGACCCCCTGGCTTTGCACACCCTCACAGTCCAAGCATGGAAAATTCTGCATTCCTCAGCTCCTGCCGTGGCTCTGAGTGTGCGGTCACTTGGCTGGACCACAGTTCCCTGTCCCTTTGCTGGTCAGTGCCAGCTCGTGTCCTCTTGTCCCCAGCCCGTGTCCTCTTGTCCCCAGCTCGTGTCCTCTTGTCCCCAGCTCACATTCTCTTGTCCCCAGCTTGTCCTCTTGTCCCCAGCTTGTGTCCTCTTGTCCCCAGCCCATGTCCTCTTGTCCCCAGCCCGTGTCCTCTTGTCCCTAGCTCGTGTCCTCTTGTCCCTAGCTCGTGTCCTCTTGTCCCCAGCTCGTGTCCTCTTATCCCCAGCTCATGTCCTCTTGTCCCCAGCTCGTGTCCTCTTATCCCCAGCTCATGTCCTCTTGTCCCCAGCTTGTCCTCTTGTCCCCAGCTCGTGTCCTCTTGTACCCAGCTCACATTCTCTTGTCCCCAGCTCACGTTCTCTTGTCCCCAGCTCATGTCCTCTTGTCCCCAGCCCATGTCCTCTTGTCCCCAGCTCACGTCCTCTTGTCCCCAGCTCACGTTCTCTTGTCCCCAGCCCATGTCCTCTTGTCCCCAGCCTGTGTCCTCTTGTCCCCAGCTCACATTCTCTTGTCCCCAGCTCGTGTCCTCTTGTCCCCAGCTCACGTCCTCTTGTCCCCAGCTCACATTCTCTCGTCACCATGCAGAGCTTGAGCTGCCCCGTGCACTGAGTGTATTCCTGAACAGCCAATCATTCCCTAGCTCTGGTTTCTCATGGAAAGCTCGAGGATTTTCATGGGAAGGTATTGCAAAAGAAGTGCCCTTCCCTCCTGGAGGGATCACAATCCTCCAGTGCAAACTCTCACCCAGTTGTGCTTATCTTCTGCAAGATTAGCAGCTGCAGAGCTCGTTGGCATCAGCAGCACCAAAACCCTCATCTGGAAATTCCAGACAGGATTGGATTGTTCACATCCTTTACAAGGAGGAATCCTTGAGAGGAAAGGCAAAATCTTCCCCTGCAGACTGAATTTTCCTTACCCCAAGCTGAGAGGAGCAGGCAGAGTGCTCAGAGTGCACTGTGAACCCTGCCCTGCTGCCTGTTCCTCATATCTGGGATCCTGCGGGCTCCC